CATAGACATAGATAAAAAACAAAACTAAATAAGAAAAGAAGGCTGAGTGCCAAAGAATTGATGCTTTCAAACTGTGGTGTTGGAGAACACTCTTGAGAGTCCCTTGGACTGCAAGGAGATCCAACCAGTCCTTCCTAAAGGAAATCAACCCTGAATATTCATTGGAAGGGCTGATGCTGAAACTCCAGTCCTTTGACCACCTGATGCAAAGAGCTGACTCATTGGAGAAGACCCTGATGCTGGGAAATACTGAAGGCAGAAGGAGAAGGGGATGCCAGAGAACAGATGGTTGAATGGCACCACCAACTCAGTGGCCATGAGTTTGAGCAAACTCCGGAAGATGGTGAAAGACATGGAAGCCTGACATGCTTAGTCCATGGGGTCTCAAAGAGTTGGACACGACTGAGCGACTGAACAACAACAAAAAAGAAGAAAATCCTCTCACTCGCCAACATATTGGGAAAGAGGAATCCCACTGTCTGCCCCCGGGGCTCCTGGTGGGTGGGTTAAACTGTGGGCAGCAGTGAAGCCCCAGGCTGTTCCAGCCCCATTCCACAACTAGAGCATGAGCAGTTGACTGGGAGGACAGTTTGACCCACCTGTGGCGGCAAATCCCTGGACTGTCCCAGTCTGCCTAACATCTAGTACATAAGCAGGTGATCCATCTCTCCATAGCAGTTTACACACAGCTCTGTGTCCCCATGCTCCCTGCCTGATGACAAGGAGACCAAGCCCAGTGGCAGCTCCCCCCATGCCCCATCAGGAGATCTTCAGTAACAGCAGGTGACCTGGGAAGCAGCTTCATCTTCACAGAACAACACCAGGGTGCCTGAGCAGGAGCTGCATCAGCACCAGAATAATGAAGCAGATCAGAGTAACGTTACAAGAGTTCAGAATACCAAACTTTTGTTGAAGTAAAGCCCACAAAAATAGGCCAGAACCTGAATTTTAGTAAATTGAATCCAACCACAACCAAGTGGGATTTAGTCTGGAAACCCACATCTGTTTTGTTGATAGAAAGTCAATGTGATCCACCCTTTGAACAAGCTAAAGAAAATTGTTACCTGTGATCGTTACAATTGATGCAGAAAATCTTTTGACAGAGATCAACATACATAATATAAACTGTCAGTAACTAAAAATCAGTGGGATTGTCCTCAACCTCATAATACACATCTCTAAACAAACACACCTAAGTTAATACTTACAGGCAGAGGACTGAATGTTCTCCCTCTACTGTCTGGAAACATAAGGAAGTTAACTCTCACCACTCTTAATCAGCATACTGCTGGCAGGTTTGGTTAGTGCAGTAAGGAATGAAAAAAAGGATAAAGGCATGCAGATTTGAAAAGGAGAAATGAAACTATTACTGTTTCCAGTTGATGTGATTATCTGCATAGAATATCTCAAGAGCTCTATACCAAAGCACTCCTAGAACTAAAAAATGAACTCATTATGGTTACATGATATAAGGTCATTTCACAAAAGTCAACTGATTTCTGTACATTGACAATGAAGAAATATCAACTGATATTTTTTAAAAAGCAATATACCATTTACAATTGCCCCAAACAAAGTTGGGGAAAAAAGTATAATAAACATGTAAGATTTGTGCAGTGAAAATGATAATGTCTTGATTAAATTGAATTGTTAAATATTTAGAGACACATGCCATGGTCATTAATTGGAAGACTCTGTGTAATAAAAAATGGCAAGTCTTCTTAAATTTTCAATTCTTAGTAAAATCTCAGAAACATTTTAAAGTAGATTTAGACAAGCATATTTTGAAATTTATAAATTAGGTTGAAAAAATAATTGCAGGTATGGACTGTGAATTTTAAATCTTTATGACTAGGCTCAAAACACATCTTTATTAATCAAAGTAGGAACAGTTACAGTGAACACATTTTTGCAAATAAGAAATAAGTTTGTTTATTCCTGTAGTGTAAAAATCTGTGCTTCAGGATTCAAGGAACTCTTGGGAAGCATTTTCTGCCTCTTGCTTATTATGGAAGCATTTTCCCTGCAAAAAGTTGTTGAGGCACTTGAAAAAGTAGTAGTTGGTTAGCAGAGAGTCAGGTGAATATGGTGGATGAGGCAAAGCTTTGTAGCCCAATTCATTCAAATTTTGAAGCATTGGTTGTGCCATGTGCAGTTGTGTGTTGTCGTGGGGAAAAATTGGGCCCATTCTGTTGACCAGTGTCGGCTGCAGGCATTGCATTTTTTTTTTGGTGCATCTTATCAATTTGCTGAGCATACTTCTCAGATATAATGGTTTCACTGGGATTCAGAAAGCCATAGTGGATCAGACGGGAACCAGACCACCAAAGAGTGACCATGACCTCTTGGTGCAAGTTTGGCTTTGAGAAGTGCTTTGGAGCTTCTTCTTGATCCAGCCACTGAGCTGCTCATCGCTGGCTGTCATGTAAAACCCACTTTTTGTCACACGCCACAATCCAGTCAAGAAATGTCTCATGGTTAGACAAAAGTATGAACCTTGACCTCAGCCTCACACTGTATAAAATAGAACAGTTCATGCAGTCTAATGTAAAAGAGAAAATTGTAAAACTTACAGGAAAAGAAGAAAATTTCAAGACCTAAGACTAGACAAAGAGTTCTTAGACTTGACACCAAAAGCACAATCCATAAAAGAAAAACTTGATAAATTTGACTTCATCAGAATTTAAAACTTTTGCTCTCCAAAAGACCCTGTTAAGAGGATGAAAATGCAGGTTATATATTGGAGGAAAATATTTGTAACCTCATGTTTAACAAAGGATTTGTATCTAGAACATATACAAATTCAACATTAACTGTACAAAGTTATATAAAACTTTGTGTATGTTTGGCACAGTGGTAAAGAATCTGCCTACCTATGGGCAAAAGACACTCTAAACCTTTCAATGAAAAGGATATGCAGATGGAAGATAAAAATGTGCAAAGATGTTCAGCATTATTAGCCATTTGGGAAATGCAAATTAATTAAAGCCACAATAATGTATCACTGCCTACCCAATTGTGATAAAACCAAATGCTGGTGAGGATGTGGAAAAGGAGTCATCAAACATTGCTGGTAGGGTTGTTAAATGATACAGCCTCTTTGCAGAACTGTTTGGCAGTCCCTTTTAAAACTGTAAATGAATCTGTAATACCAAGAGCAGGCAATTCTACTCTTGGGTGTTTGTCCCAGAGAAAACTTATTTTCACAAACATTTTGTCGTTAAGTCACCAAGTCATGTCTCACTCTCTGCAACCCTTTGGACTATAGCTCACCAGGCTTTCTTTTCCTGTCCATGGCATTTCCCAGGCAAGAATGCTTGAGTGGGCTGCCATTTCCTTCTCCAGGGGATCTTCCAAACACAGGGATTGAACTCACTTCTCCTGCATTGGTAGGCAGATTCTTTACCACTGTGCCACCAAAAAAGCCCAAGAAGCTTTTAACATGAGTGTTATTAGCAACCTTATTCTTCATAGTCAAAAACGTGAAACCCAAGGGTCCTTCAGCTGGTGAATGAGTGAATAAAGCATAGCATTTCCATACCATAGTCTGCTACTCAACACTCAGATAGAACACACCATTGAGTCTTGTGTCCAGTGACTTGAATGGACTGCAGGGGAGCAAAACCAAGTGAAAACCATCAACAGGAGGAGGATACATACTGTGTGTTTATATATAGAAGTTGTTGAAATATACTTGTAGAGATGGAGAACAAATCAGCAGTTGACAGGCAGGGATAGAGTAGAAAATGTGGCTGTGAAGTGATATAGTAACGGTACAGTTAAGTATCTTGATTTGATGGTGGTCTGACAAACCTGTAGTAAGATGGTCTGTTGCAGATATAAAAATGTGCATGTGTAAGCAGTGAAATCCTGTGGTCCATCCAGGGCCAGCTTCCCAGTTTGGATAGTGTACTGCAGTAATACAAGATGATACAGTTCGGAGAGACTGGATGAAGGGTATGCGGGATGTCCCTGTACACTCCTTTTCTTCTTTCTCTTGTTAGCTATAATATTTCAAACTAAAATGTTCAAATTCCTACAGAGGCACATAAGGAAATCTGGAGGAAAATGCTGTTAAACTTTAAGTTTCTCAGATGGTAGAATTATGAATGTTTTGTCTTTATTTTATATGTTTCCTATGGTGAACATGATTTTTATGAGAGAAAAAGATACTGACATAAATAGATGCAATCAAAACTAATTTCCAGTGGAAATAGTAATTGCACGGTTTGCTCAAAAGGGTACATTTGCACTTTGAACTTGGAGGCCGCTGGTAGCCTTGGAAAATTTTCAGAGCCATAGTGGGGTCAGAACCCAAAGTGTAGCCAATTAAAAAATAAATGGGAAGCAGAAAAATGTAGGTGACAAATACAAATAGTATACTTCCAGCAAGCTGATAGAAAGAGATGGGTAGAGGGAAGAGGGCTTTGATCAGTAAGCTGGGAGGCTGTTGGAGTACCACTGCTGCTGTAGGAAGAGAGTGGGGTCCTTACGAGTCATTTTGGCAAGGAGCTTATTGCACCCTTGGGATAAACCGTGAGATCATGCGTCCCTGTGTGGTTGGGTGGGTCACTTGCAGTCTAGGTATGCAGCGCACCTGCGAGCAGGGAACTGGAGCTCGCATGTTCCCTGTCCTGTGTGTGTTTAGTATGTAAGCAAACACGTAGACATGATGGGCCTATGTAGAGAGAGATTTTGATTCGGAGTTTAGCTGACCTCCAAAGAGTTTTAAAGCTCTGTTGACTCCAGTGGCTAATAAAAGTGTAGCTGGTCTCTATAAATATTGATTAAGTTTGGGGTTTAATTGCTTTCTTCTGTTCACTGAATGCATCGGTTAAATTGATCAAGGAAAACGCCAGGGTCTGTTTTCAGTTTATCAGCTAAGCACCTAGGTGTGCTCAGTACTTGCCAGCAGAAAGAGTGGCCCCAGGCTGTTCCTAGGTAAGGTGCTGCTGTAGCTGTAGTCATTCTGTAAACTTAGTACATTACGTGATGCACAGGGCATCCTGCACAACCTGGCAGCTCTCTATGGAGGCAGGCCCAGCTCTTCACGAGGAGGGAAGCCGAGAAACAAAGAGGAAGAGGTACGCCTCCCGCATGCTCGCTGCCTGGCACCGTCACTTTGAGTTGATTGCCTTCCTTCCCTGCATGGTTTACGTTCTTCACGGTGATTGGAGGATTTGTAGGTCTGTAGGGACCTGTTAATATATCTTGGCTGACATACTGTGTTATGATTTTGCTCCATAACTGCTTTTCCGTATTCTGATTTCAGTTTCTTTCAATAAAATTAAAAATTTGTCACTGTAATGTATTTCTTTTCATAAATAAATTGATCTAAATTAAACACTTGAAAGCTAATATTACATTCCCATTAACCAGATCTCAAAATTTTATTTCTTATATTCCCATTAACACTTTCCTTTAAATTAAAAACATTTTAGCATTAAAAATATTGGTAGTTTTTTTTTTTTAATTGAAATGTTGCCCTTTTTTTCTCTTTGTAGGTTTATTTGGCAAGACTAAGACAAATAAGATTGCAGAATTTCAATGAACGCCAACAGATTAGAGCCAAGCTTCGTGGTGAAAAGGCAGGTTGAAAATCTATTTTTCAAAAAGTACTTGAATGACATTATAATATATTGAGATTAAAAATGCTATGCCACTAACACAAGATGAAATCTCACGAAGACAGTGAAAGTCAAAGACCAGAAAAACTATATATAGGAATACAGAAAATCGTATTTATATGACTTAAAATTGATAAGACCTGTTGTTCCAGTGGAATTCTGAGAGGAAAGTGTGAGTAGTAGCCATGGACATATAAAAGGGGACATTTTATATCATTCTCTTTTTATCTGTTTTTCCCAGTGTCCATAGGAGTTGATGGTTCTGGAGAGTTCAGTTGTAGCTCTGAATAAGTTACCATTTTTCATTTTTAGATGTTTATTTATTCATACAAACTCTGCAGTGAATTTGAGGTTCTATCCTAAGTGCTGCTGTGCTCACTACTTATTTTGTAGAAGGAAACTGACAGCTCTGAAGATCAAGAAGGAAGTGAGGAGGCCGATGTGAGGCGTAAAAAAGTGGAAGCCCTGAAGGTATGTACTGGAGGTGATAGGGGTTTTCTTAGAGAAAAGGGAAACCCAAGATAGAAAATTCTGTTCCTAAGTCTTTCATCGTTAAATCACCTTATTCTTTTGCCTTAACTTTTCTTTGTCCTCACTTTGTTTCTGAAAAGTAGCATTTCTCTCTCTCTCTATATCTTATTTATGGAGAGCAATTTGATGAAAGCATGGCATAAATACCTGGAACTTTCACACAAGTAATCTTAAAAAGAGAAAATGGTAACCCTAAAAATGAAAAACATAGTGTCCATTTCTGTGAAGACAAGTTTATGCATAATAGTCATGTTTTAAAACTTTTCCATTTTTATTTCCTTTTGAATGTACATTCATTTATTTTCATTCCAGAGATACTTATTGAGCAGCTGCTGTGTTTTGACACCTGGTTTAGGTGCCGGGTTTGCAGCTTAATGTTTGTATTCTGGAGGGGCACCCCCCCGCAACACACACACACATACTCTCGGCCACACTGTCTCACACATAGACGTGCATTCACATACACTGTTGTTTAGTCACCCAGTCATGTCTGACTCTTTGTGACCGCATGGACTGTAGCCCCCCAGGTGCCTCTGTCCATGGGATTCTCCAGGCAAGGATACTGGAGTAGGTTGCCATTTCCTTCTCTGGGGAATCTTCCTGGCCCAGGGATCAAACCCAACTTTCCTGCATATATGGTGGATTCTTTATAACTGAGCCACCTAAGAGGCCTGTACACATATACACTTACACACAACCCTAACCAAAAAAGATTAATGTGTGTTTGTATGTAAGCATATATGGAAATACTTTTTAGACCTGGAAAGAAAGGCAAACCCCATGCCTTTCTTTCTGGCGTTAATTTTGTGGATTGTCCTCCTCTGCAGGCCCAGGCAAGTGCCCGTGCAGCCGTCTTGAAGGAGCAGCTTGAGCGCAAGCGGAAGGAGGCTTATGAGAGAGAGAAGAAGGTGTGGGAGGAGCATGTAAGCCGAGACCCCTGTGAGGACCCTGCCTTTGCCGCCCTCCCAGCTCTCAAGGGAGCTGTGCCAGCCACAACCCTGTGATTCTGTGTTTTTATTCTCATTCATTTCTCTGCGTCTGTCTCTTTCATCAATTAAGGATAATGATCTATGTGGAAGTTATTTTGGTATTTGATGTGAGGTGAGATAAAATAGTATTTGTATTTATCTATACTTCCAAGAGTAGCTAAGTTGACAATTTCATGTTTTTATAAATCTGGCCTCAGTATTTGGTGAAATTTTGAGTTTTGTCATTAGGTGTCACTGTTGATTAATTTTTCAGCAACTAGTGTAGTTGACAGATAAAATAGAAACAATTTTACAGTGATAATTAAAAACCTTTTGTGAAGATATAAGCAATATAGAAAGTCTTGACTGTATTAACCTGGTAATGAAATAGCTACTGAAAAAGCTTCCAAAGCAGTTTGTTTCCTAACCCTCACTTATGAAACTTTCAGATCAGTGTTTTATTCCTTTTGCACATTTACAACAACTTTGACTGAATTTTTAAAAAGCTTCTTAGAGTGAAGTAGATATTCTAAACTTAGCCAGGTAATCAATTTGTAACAAAATAGGTTATATCTGTTTTGAAGTTTTATGTTTTTTTCTTCTATGAAACTTTGTTTTTTTTCTTAACTTAGTTAATTTTTATGTTTTTTTTTTTTAATGTCAGTATCTTTCTGAATTAAGGACTCAATCTAATGTTTTCTCCTTTCAGAAATTAAAAAATACATGATGGTCTTCTGTCTTACAGTCTGGTTAATTTTGAATAGCGTTAACATTTCTGTCTAAAAATAATATATCCATGATGTTTACACAGAAGGCCCAAGTTCTCCTGTATTAATAAATGTATTGCTTGGCTTATAATGGTGTTGCCACATCTCAGTAGTTACTCTGAATTACCCTTAGTTTTTTAATAAACGAATTAGCTTTGTTTTAAATAATTATGAGAGTTAGGAAGATGTTCTCTTTGTTTTTGTTCTTTGGTTTGAATTTCATATGCCTTTCTTTACTTGTTATCTCAGGTTCTTTATGTCTGTTTAGTTGATCCAGGGAGAGACAAGTAGATGTTTGATCATAGTGGAAGCATTTTCTGGAGGCTGCTCGGGATCCTTCTTATTAGATGCCAGTGACTTTCTTAGACCATGGATCAGATATCTTCAGAGACTGTACTAGTCATTAGCCATATATGTGGCAGCCATATAGATTTTAATATAATACGGAGTAGATTTTTAATAATAATGTGTGAAACATTTTCTTCATTAAAATACCTTCTGTTGATTAAAAGAAAAGATTTTTTTTCCAAGATGAGTTGTGTGAAAAGAATGTAACAGCTCTCCCTCCTGTATCTTGATCCTGCTGGACTGAATTTGGTGGTCTTTGTTCTCATGCCCTGTTTAACTCATAACATTTATCAATAAGTATTTTTATCTATTAAGATTTCTCTTAAGGTTGAAGTTAATATAGATTGTGCCTTTGGTGTTTTATCTGAAAGTCACTGCCAAAAACCCAAGGCCCTCTGGGTTTTCTCCTGTATTCTCTTCCAGGGGCTTTTGTGGTTTTGACTTCTACGGTTAGGTCAGTAATCAGTTGTGAGCACTTGTCAGGGTGTAAGGTTGTTTCTGTGTTTGCCTGTGGGTGTCCAGTAGTTCTAGCATCGTTTGTTGATAAGCAGTCTGTGCTTTCTGCAGTGATTGCCTTTGCTCCTTTGTTAAATGCAGTTGACTGTATTTGTGTGGGTCTGTTTCTGGTCTCTCTGGTCTGTTCCATTGATCTGTTTTCATTATTATCACACTGCCTTGATTACCTCAGCTTTCAGTAAGTCTTGAAGTCAAGTAGTATCATTCCTCCAACTTAGTTCTCCTTCAGTTTTATGTTGGCTATCTCCATCTCCTTTTGAACAAAATAGTTGTTGGTATAAAATGAAAGACCAGAGAACTAAATGCTAGAATTGGATTACTATCTTATGCTTAGAACATGCTCAATAAATACTAGTTTAAAATATTTATATTGATACTTTTTCATCAGAAATTCTTGTTTACTTGTTTCAAGAAGAGATAGAAGTTGGGAGTGACTTGCTACCGTGTTCCTGTGAGCAGACTGAGAAATGCCATTTCCTTATACTTACTGAAAGTTCAGAACATGATTTCACATTGTTTACAGAGTCTCCATGGCAAGATAAAAGCAAAAACATGTGAAAATAACAAATGATATTTTCAGTGAAGTAAATCTTATTACCTGTACTTTTCACATCTTCCTTTCTTATTTATGTTGACATTTTATAATCAGGGCTCTCATGTTGGGTAACTGATGTTCACATGTTAAGATTGTGCCAAACTTTAGAATTTGCAGAAGCATCTCTTTTTGAAGTATAAGATTAGTAAGTAAGCTTTTTTTGTTTTTGCCAGAATTAGTAAGGGGTTGAAATTAGAGCACTAATGTTTAATCTTTTAGAAGGCAATTGTAAAACATTGTTAATGCAGTGGAAAGGAGTTATTCAGCACCATGGGACACATGGATGTGTTTACATGTGAGGTCAGAGACATGTCAGTCTGTTCACTGATACTTCCCCTTCTCTTAGTACATTGCCTTGCACAACAAAAATTGAGGAATGAAAAAACTTCTTGTGGTTAGAGCGTATAGGCTGTGATCTTACATATATACCACTTTATCTCTTCATGCAAATATAAATTTGCCAATGTGCTTACATTCTTATTACAGTTGGTGGCCAAAGGAATAAAGAACTCAGATGTGTCTCCGCCTTCAGGGCAGCAGGAAATGGGGGGTTCTCCATCAAAGCAGCCAATGAGACCTGTTATTTCTATGACTTCGGCTTTGAAGGAAGTGTGTATGGTAAGCTTTCTATAATTTAGAACTCCTCAAAGTCAAAGAATACTAAAGGGACTAAATTTACTTAAATTACATTAATTCTTAATGTCTGATTAGGTTTTTCTAGGGAAAAAATTACTGCTTTAAGATTTTCATGTATGGTTTATTCTTGAGTATTGGAGCCTCACTGTTGTTAGGTTTCACATATAAGACCACCTGATAGATAAAAATGTATTAAAATGATTCCCCAATACTGTAAAAGACTCTTGAACAAAAAAAATATAAAAATTATGAAAAATAATGCAAAAAAACACTTTTATTTCCTGGCACTCAAAATTAGCAGAAGTTCATTTCTTGGTATAGCAAATGTTAGAGGACTCAGCATAATTGCAGTTAATTCATCATTTATTTCTTTAAGCTTCTACTTTTGAATCTCTATCATGCCATCGGGAGTATAAAACAAAGAACTGTGGGCAGGTAAAAAGTTTAAACTTGGAAGTACATAGCGGGTATCCATCTGAAATGTGAAGCACTCTATTCTGAGGCTGAGGGAAAGGGACTCCTGATGTGGGATTCTAGCCTGGAACTCAGCAGGCCGAGGAACAGTCTCCTGAGTCGTGTTACACCTTAACCTGATTCTTTCCTTTCCTGGTTGTTGAAGTCTGTGCCTATTATTTGTTGAATTTCATTCAGTTTTGGCAGACAGAACTGATGTTATTGGCACACCAATTTTCTACAGCCTCTGTGTTTATCTTGGAAATGAGATTATGTAGGAAGTACCAGTCTTGGTTAACTCTCAAGAACTCCCAGGAACTTGAGGAACTCCCTGCTGTTCCTCGAGAACAGCAGGGAAGCACTGTTGCTCAGACAGGGTTCGTCTCCGCTCCTCTCTGGTAACGACTGTGTGCTGCGCTCTTCACCCCACCCCTCAGATGCCATGTGCGGGCCCTGCCTGGTCCCAGTCTCACCCCACGTAGCTGCTCACCTCTCTGGTTGTAGCGACTGCTAATTCCTGCCACTTCACTGGGTAAAATGCTTTTTGTCTGATTTACAGGTGTAACTCTGAAACTGACCACTATTTAATAAAATTTGAGGTAATCCGTGTAACCAAATGCTTTTCCTTTATGGGTTTTCTTGGTAAATTATCATTTGCTTAAAACTTTGAGAACTGCTTTTCCTTACCCCGAGTCTTCCAGGTACCTTTGATTTCATGGTTTTTGTAACTACTAATTTCTCTTTTTTTATGTATTTCATATACTAGTTGGTCTAATTACTTTGATTATACTAATCAGAAAACAAAATTTATTTTAGCATTAGCACAAAGTACATAGGACTCTTTACTGTTACTGTTTGTTTAGGGAGAAAAGCCAGTTCTCAATTATCTTTAGTAAGTAGTATGGCTTAGTAACAATATATGTACCTGAAACAAAGACAGCTTACAAACAACACACCCTCTCTTCGTTATTTATCTGTCAAAACGTCCCTAATTCTAATTGAGTATAAAAATTAAATTTTTAAAAATTTCTGTCATAAATTTATGTTTATCAAAAATCAAGTGCCAAAGAGGAAGAGGATATAGTTAAATAAGAGGAAGAGGATATAGTTAAATATCTGATCTAGTAACACAGAAATGTGACAGTAATTGAGAATTGGCCATTCTAGCATATTATCACATCTATTAGATGATAATAAGTAATTATTTCTCATGCTGATAATGAATGAAGCTATGTTAACATTTTGCAGGAATAAAAAAACAAGGAACATGGAATGCTAATGAAAAACAAAAAGTAAAAATATCAAAAATTTTAAGGTATGCTTTAAAATAACATTATTTCTTACTCTCTGTGTTTAAAGGACAGAAGTCTAACTGATGCCCAGGAAACCTCAGAAGAAATGCAGAAGAGTAACAGTGCTGTTTCAGTAGGTACAATTTTCAAATTTCCTGTCAATCATTCCACTTAGTCATATACCTATTAAAATGCAACATTTTAACTGTTTCAGAGTAAGCGAGAAATACTACGTAGATTAAATCAAAATCTTAAAGTTCAAGAAGATGAAAAGGGAAGGCAGAGTCGTCCTGAAATGGGTACAGTAACTGCTCATGAAGATATCAAAGAGCTGGAAAAAGAAAAGTCAGTTTCATCGGATCGAAAAAAATGGGAGACAGGAGGCCAGCTTGTGCTTCCTGTGGATGAACTGGCCCTGGACGCTTCCTTCTCTGTGACAGAAAGTGCGTATGAGCGCACTCAGGTGCCGTCTGGTCTGCCCCAGCCCCCTTGTGGCCGTGTGGCTGGACACTCTGAGGATGCCCCATGTAGAGGGGCTGAGAGCCTGGAGGGGGTTCTGTAATAAGTGAGACATGGAGAAAACCATTCTGTAATAAGTGAGACATGGAGGAAACCATTCAGCTTCAACATGGGAGGGCTTTCACCTTTTCTTTCTTTTTTAACATTCTTTTAAGCTTTCTTTTTTTAAACATTGTTTTTATTTTTGGTTGCACTGGGTCTTTGTTGCTTTGCTTTCTCTAGTTGCAGCAAGCAGAGGCTGCTCTCTCCGTGTGGTGTGCAGGCTCCTCAGTGCAGTGGCTTCTCTTGTTGTGGAGCACAGACTCTAGGTGCACAGGCTTACAGGCAGTTGCAGTACGTGGGCTCTAGAGTGCAGGCTCAGTAGTTGTGGCACACAGGTTTAATTGCTCCAAGACATGTGGAATCTTCCTGGATCAGGAACTGAACCCATGTCTCCTGCATTGGCAGGTGGATTCTTATCCACTGTGCCAGCAGAGAAGTCCCATGAGAGGGTTTTCCCCAACAATCTGTGATGTGAGAGCAAGAACGAATGGCACGCATGTAACCTGTGTTACTCCAGCCCTTCCTTCCATCTTAGAGTCACCTGTCACCAGGAGTAATTCTTGGTGAGAATCAGAGGAGTGCACTTGGGCAGAACCTGGGAAGGTCGGGGCGGTATTGAGCAGGCCTGTGGAGAGGCTCATAGGCCATCCCTTTGCTCAGTGAGGATTCCTAAGCCCCTGCCCTTGTCTCACGTTGTCCCAGCCCTGGAGTGCAGCGGGGAACTGACAGAGACACATGCAGGTGGGGGTTCGCTTTCTAGGCGGCTGATCTGATCACCGCCTAACTGAGTGCTGTTTTATGTGGTTTTTTTGATGGGCCATTTTGGTAGAATTCTTTCTTTTTAGTACCTTGAAGCAAAGTTCACAGACTCCACAGCAGGCAGCTGTGTATTGAGTCCCACGCTCTCACGCAGACACACACACACAGACTTGTAAGGGCCTCATGGGAAGTCTACTAGTGTGTCAGAGGAATAACTTTGAAAAGCAAGTGAGGATGCATCAGAGAAGGAAAATTGAGTGTGATATGAATTTAAAAAGAAGAGAGAGGGCAAGATGAGGGCTAGAAAATCTGCACTGTGTTTGTCAGAGGGGGGCCTTGTGACCTTGGTGAAAGCAGTGTTGCTAGAGGTCAGGGGCAGAAGTAGAATCTGGGGGTTAAGGAGCGAGTAAAAGGTGAGGGAGGAGCCTCTTCTGGAAGCTGAGCTGTGAGGGAAAGAGAGGGATGCAGTGCCCCCTGGTGGAACCTTACAGAAAAGAGCCTGAGAGTCAAAGTGCAGCCTGCCATGCTTCTCAGTACATGATGGACCTTGGTTGCAGGGAGCAAGAAAATCCAGTGTCCCTTCCCATCCATGCCTGAGCCAGGCTCCCTGTGGTTTTCATGCCACTTGCTTTGTCCTGTCTGCCTCCTCACCGCTCACGTTGTGTCACTGGAGTCTAGCCACTTTATTTCACGGCCCTCCTTCCCTCTCTTCTTCTCAGCCCTTTGCATGGAGGCCTTCTTGTTTCTTTCCTCACCCTGCTGTTCAGCCTTCCCCCATTTCTGAATTCCTGCATGTCACAGAGCTCTTCACAGTCTAGTCTGTGTACAGCCCTGGGCCCCACCTTCCATCCCTCACCCTTTCACCCGGCTTCCCAGCCCCGCAGTCCCTTGCAGATTGCTTTGTCACCTTTATCAGATACCATCTGGCTGTAAGTTATGGGTCTGTTCATTGTTCTCTGCTCTTTTTAACCATCCTTTTAAAAATTGTTTCTTACTGGTAATCATTTTGCTTAAACAAAACCAAATATTGTCTGATAAATTGCAGGTATTTACTTTCATGGATGGGTACACAAAAATATGTATCATGTATTTGGTCACCGTTGAAAGTTTGTATGACTTACATACCCAGTAATATTTGAGAATATATCTTACCTATTACTTCTGGGTATCTATGTGCTTCATGTATTAATTATTACCAAGTGTTCTGAAGACTCAAACTTCAGTAGGTGATTTTCTCTGTTTCGCTTTGCAAAATTTTATTCAAAAGGTTAACCCCAAATTATTATTGTCAAACAGGAAGTGTCAGTTGCTTCCTTAGGATAAAGAAGATAAAACAAATTTTCTTAAAGTACTTTTCTCTACTTTTAATCCATATGCACATTTGTCTTAGGATTTTTTTTCTATTCTCTGCAATTTATAGAAACAAAATATTAACATATTTTATCTATTTTTGTACTATCCCAAATTATTCTTAATTAAAAATTTTTTTTCTCAAGTAAAAATGTTGTAGAAACATAACTTACATTTTTTTCCATTTTTATATTTCCTAAAACTAGAATCTGCCTTTAATGCAATGTTATTAGAGTCTGTCACTGAAATTTTTTATATCTTTTTCTTTTAGAACATACAGTGGGAGAGGTTATTAAATTAGATCCTAGTGGATCTCCAAGAAAAGTCTGGGGGAAAAGTCCTACAGATTCTGTTCTGAGGATACTTGGAGAAGCTGAACTGCAACTTCAGACAGAACTCTTGGAAAACACAACTATTAGCAGTGGTGAGCAGAGAAGCTATTTTTTTTATATTAGAAGTAATGTTAAAAACATACTTAGTTACCATTTTGTGTATGTGATGCCTGAACACTTAAGATTTATTCTCTTAGCAGCTGTACATTTATTGGTAACTGTAATTAACTACGCTGTGTGTTAGAGCTCTAGAAACTTATGCATAAACGTAAATTTAAACAATTGAAGGCTTGTACCCCTTAGAGACATCTCCTTGTTTCTCCCACCTCTGAGGCCCTGGCAACCACTGTTCCAGTTTCTGTGAGTTTGGCTTTTTTAGATTCCATTTATATATGATATCATACAGTGTTTATCTTTTCATGTCTGACTTATTTGTAACACTTAGAATCATATCTTCCATGGATTTCCTTCATTCTTAAGGGTGAATACTATTATGTGTGTATATACACACACACACACCCTGTTCTCTTTACCCATTCATTTGTGCACGCTCAATTTCTTTCCCTGTCTTGGCTACTGTGAATAGTTCTCCAGTGAATGTATGAGTGCAGATAACCCTTCAAGATTCTGATTTAATTTTCTTTCATGAAATACTCGGAAATGGAATTGCTGTATAGTTCTACTTTTCATGTTTTGAAGAACCTCAGTACTGCTCTCCATAGAGGCTACACCAGTTCACATTCCCGCTAACAGTGCCCAAGGAGGGTTCCCATTTCTTCACATCCCCACCAGTATTTGTCGTCTCTCCTTTTTTTCTTTTTTAATAATAGGTATGGTAACAGGAATGAAATGATCTCTCACTGTGATTTTGATTTGCATTTCCCTGGTTATTAGTGATATTGAGCTCCTCTTCATATATCTGTTGGCCATTTTTGTGTCTTTGGAGAAATGTCTATTCAGTTCCTTTACTTTTTAAAGCAAATTTAATTTTTATTGAAGTATAGTAGATTTACAGTGTTGTGGAAGTTCAGGCGTACAGCACAGTGCTTCAGTTATATATATATACAGAAAACCACTCTTTTCTAGATTCCTTTCCCATATAGATCTTTACAGAATGTTGATGGAGCTCCCTGTGCTATACAGTAGGTCCTTATTAGTTATTCTTTGTGCACTTAAAAATTGCTATCATTAATTAATAGTGGCAAAAAAATTTAATATGCCAGTTTTTTTTGCTGTTGACTTATATGAGTTCCTTAAATATTTTATGTTAAACTCTGATCACATATATAATATACAAATAATTTTTATTATTCTGTAGATTCCCTTTTTATTTTGTTGGTTTTTCCTTTGCTGTGCAGAAACTTTTTACTCTGATGTAGTCTTGCTTTTTGTTTTTCTTTTTTTTTTCTTCTGTTGCTTGTGCTTTGGTGTCATGTCCAAAAATTTCTTAGTAAGATGTATACAATCTGTTTTTAAAGTGCCTAGTCAAGTGTGTTGCTTATTTTTCCATTACGTTGGTTTTCCTTTGGTTGGTTACATGTGTAGATTATATCATCAATAGTTAGAAATAGTTTTTTTGTCCAGTATTTATTTGATCATTTCTTTTTCTTCGCACTGCATTTGAGAGCCTCTAGACCAGTCTTCAGTCCTCGTGGTGCTTGTTCCTGGTTTTAATAGATACTTTTTTATAGTAGAAGAGTCAGACTGAACAGATCACAGGTGTGACCTCTGCCACTGTCAGACTGTTGATGAGGTTTGGTGAAGGGAAAATATTCCAAAGCATGAGCAGCACTGTAGTTTTGTTCTTTTTGACTTGGAAGAAGTAAGGTAAAACAGCTCACAGATACCTGTTCACAACTTTATTCCCTAATGGGGTAACTGAACCAGGCAGTTCCTGCTGGCCCAGTGTTACAGATGGACTGTGGACAGCAAAGAGGGCCCACTTGACTTTAGTGATGATGAATTTAAGCTGAGACAGGGAGCAGGGCTCTCTGCTTTTCTCCACCCATTCCAGTTGTGTGTGTTCGGACATGGCAGACAGAAGACGAAATTGTTTGCTGGAAATACAGTGGATTGAGGACCTTTGGAGGAGAATGTTTTTAATGATGGACTCTTGGATAAATTTTAATGGGGAAGGTGGGGAGAGTATCCGTGGTAGGATCCATAGGTTGTGGGTCCTAATCGGGTTTGGGTCGGGTAGCAGAGGGTGATGAGTGGGAACACAGGATGTTAGGGGTTAGGAGGTGGGACAGTTAACATTGAACATTCTGAGAACCTGTGTTTATTGACAGGATCTCTAAGATGTGAGCATGAAGTGACTGAGGTGAGGGGAAGAAAGCATCATGGGGATGAATTGACCAGCCCAGATCCAGGAGGCTTGTTCAAGGTGTAGACATAAATCTAGCAGGTTAGCTGAGACAGAACTTCGGTGGGGGCTCCCAGTAGTGAACTGGAGAGCAGCATCTCCAAGGAGTGGATGTGGCTGACTTGGGTGTCTTCCGGTCATTGCAGTGAGTTGTTCTGGGCAAATCAATGCTCTCCAGACAGCAGTTAAAAGGATGGAAAGTTTCTGAGCACTTGCCACAAAAACACAAAAACATGAGTTCATAATTTTAAAGATATCATCCTGATATATATATAAACACAAATACATATGTATGTATGTGTATATAAACACATATACGTATGTATGTATGTGTATATATACACATATACATATGTATGTGTGTGTATATATACACACACATATATATGTATGTATGTAATTCTGACATTTCTGTGTATATGTAAAAGTTTCACCTAAAGGAAGAGGCATAAACCATATGTTAACCACCTTAGAAATTTATTTTTATTTTTAAATTTTTTCACCACTTGGTATTTGTAGCTTTATTATCAAGTAACTATATTATTTTGTAACTATTGTCAAGCTTCAGTATATTTCAAATAACTGAATACTGCAACTGAGACATTAAAAATGCAAACTAACTTATCAAAATAATTGTATTCTGAATATTATATATAATATTATACATTTTATATCACATAAAGAGTTTTTATACAAAAAGTTAAGGTTTGTTTATGATCATTGAAAATCTGAAATACATTTGAACAAAGCATTCCTATGCATACATATGTAATCACTCACCAAAACCATATATGAATGTGGTTTTGAAAAATAAAATTACATTCATACAACAAAGGTGAAATATGTTTTTATTAATTTGACAGTATTACTTCTAAACTGCATACATATGAATGATATGACTTCATTCTGTATATTTACAAATTTTATTTTAAGAAATTTCTATAGTTCATAATCATTAAAATGTCTATCCATAGGCATAATGTAGACCCAGCCCAGTGAATAGAAGAGTTTTGATGGTCAGTCATATCATCTGTGTATGACACCATAGTTTTAGAAAAATATTCTCTTCAGTTGTACAGTTTGATACATCTTCATAGTTCTGCTTGTCATCAGTAATTACAGATGAGGTACAGAGCTTAGAGGAGAATGTACAGAGAACTAGGTACTCAAGAAAGAGGATCGCTGGTTTCTCAAGTGGAGAACACCATAAACACCCAAACACAGTAAATTAGTCATTAAACTAAGTGTCAGTCCTTCAAAAAGGTTCATACACTGTTGTGTCATACATAGCTTTGATGCTGAAATGTCTTAAGTTCAAAACACTTTTAAATTGAATGAGAGCTGTGATTTTTAAGTAAAGTCAAACATTTTTCTAACTGATCTGAAAAGCCTGCAAAACAGTATCTTTATAACAAAAAAAATGCCTTCGAATTTAAATTTAATTTGAGTATTTTTTATCATTTGACTATCAATGTGCCTTAATCATTTATTAATTTCTAGTACATAACAGAACTTAACTAGTAATTACCTGCTGTGAGAATGAACTTTGTTCTAAATGCTATTGAAGATAAAAGTCAAGTCAGTGTGAGAACATAGCATGATTTTTCATTTTTGTTGTTTCAGAGATTTCTCCTGAAAGGGAGAATTGCAAATCCTTAATTATTGAAGGAGAAAAAGTGAAATGTATTTCACTTGAAATGAACCCATCAGCTACTGTTGATTCTTTGGTTGAGACAAACAGTCCAAACATTAGTGAAGCATCTCCACAGACAGCATTGAAACCAGAAGATTTGGAGGGTATGTTTTCATGGGGCAAAAGGAGATTTATTTGGTTTAATAATACTTCATTGTCTTCCTTATAAACAAACCTTCAAAATATTTATGTTTGGGTGATTGATCTCAAATTAGGTTCACTATTTTTCTAGTGCCAGGTCTTTTTTTATCACATTGCAGATCACCCCAAAACTTAGTGTTAGAACAACATCCATTTTACTCTGTCTCCCAATTTTAGAACAATGGCCAATTTTACTCTGTCTCCTCATTTTGTGTGTTGGGAATTGAGTCAAGCCCTGGCTCACCCCCGTGCTTTTCTAGTGCGTGTGCTCTCATCTCTCTGATGACCTGGTCTCATGGGTCCAAGAGGGCTTAACTGGTGTCCTGACTGGTACAACTGGAAGATGGTGAGGCCGGCCCCTTCCTCTTCATACAGCTTCCAGGCCTTTCTCTGTACTCTGTCCAGCAGGATGGTCTGACGTCTTCTATGGCTCACAGGTACACAGGCAGAAGCTGCTTATACTTGTAGAATCTAGTCTCCGAATTGGCACAGGGTTGCTTCTGCTGTATTTCATTGGTCAAAGTAGTTAGAAACTAGCCTGGATTCAGAAGGAGGGGAAGCAGGCATCTCTCAAGGGTAAAAGGGTTAAGTATTTTGTTATTGTTGTTGTTCAGTCATATCCAGCTCTTTGTGACTCCACGGACTGCAGCATGCCAGGCTTCACTGTCCTTCACCATCTCCCAGAGTTTGCTCAAACTTCTGTCAGTTGAGTCAGTGATACTATCTCATCTTCTGTTGTCCCCTTCTCCTCCTGCCTTTAGTCTTTCCTGGTGTCACAGTCTTTTCCAATGAGTCGGCTCTTCATACCAGCTGGCGAAAGTATTGGAGCTTCAGCATCAGTCCTTCCAGTGAATATTCAGGGTTAACTTCCTTTAGGATTGACTGGTTTGATCTCCTTTCAGTCCGGCGGGCTGTCAGGAGTCTTTGTATTTGTAGCCATCTTTTATTTATTTATTTATTTATTTATTTATTTATTTATTTTATCACAACCATAGTGTATCTTTTTTTTTTTTTTTTTACATGTATTCCCCATCCCGGTCCCCCCTCCCACCTCCCTCTCCACCCAATCCCTCTGGGTCTTCCCAGTGCACCAGGCCCGAGCACTTGTCTCATGCACCCAACCTGGGCTGGTGAACTGTTTCACCCTAGATAATATACGTGTTTCAATGCTGTTCTCTTGAAACATCCCACCCTCGCCTTCTCCCAGAGTCCACAAGTCTGTTCTATACATAGGAGTCTCTTTTTCTGTTTTGCACATAGAGTTATCGTTACCATCTTTCTAAATTCCATATATATGTGTTAGTATACTGTAATGGTCTTTATCTTTCTGGCTTACTTCGCTCTGTATAATGGGCTCCAGTTTCATCCATCTCATTAGAACTGATTCAAATGAATTCTTTTTAATGGCTGAGTAATATTCCATGGTGTATATGTACCACAGCTTCCTCATCCATTCATCTGCTGATGGGCATCTAGGTTGCTTCCATGTCCTGGCTATTATAAACAGTGCTGCGATGAACATTGGGTGTAGCCATCTTTAATGTCAAAATCTGCCCTTTTTTTTTTTTCCCCGCCCATCAGTGCGGGCCTCGGGGCAGGTGTCACCCCATTATCCCTAACACCCAGCAGAGGCAGGGACATGAGGCCTGGCAAGCAAAAGTCTGCCCTTTTACCAAACTTATTTATATCCTCTCACATGCAGAATACACTGACTCTTCATAGCCACATCTTAATCTTATGACATTGGCTCAAATGTTGTCATCAAGGTCAGACCTGTGTTTATATGAGGTTCTTTGGGTGCAGTTCTTTGAATACATTTACTTTCAATCTGAAGACCTAGAGAGTTCTTTTCACTTGCTTTTTCATTCATAAATCTAACACAGTGATGACGAGGACGTGAGACTCCTTGTCAAAAACAGGGAACGTACAAGATTGTGGGTACATAGAAACGGGATCCCACCAGGAGTAGCTTGGCCAGCTTGCTTCCCTCCCAGCAAACATTGGTGCCCTCAAAGGCTCTTCTGTTGGGCTGTATCTTTCCTCTCAATCACACTGGGGAGTGCTTCTGCAAGTATTAATGATTTTGTGAATTTTGTGTGAATGTTATTGACATTTAGTGAAAAACCACTGGGGTTTTTGGTTTGGGTTTGTTTTTTGAGACCGTGCCCTCTCTGCCTGCAGTTGCTGTGAGGAAGGCAATTGAGATGCTCAGCAATCCTCTTGTTCAACAGCAAGAGTCAGAAAGACAGACCTTTAAATCCTTCTGTGCCCCAGCAGAAAGTCTTACGGCCTTCTGTTTTTGACCTCTGTCTTTGCCCTGAGACCATGCCCTGAGACCTCAGGCATACTTTGCCTGAGGTTAGTGTCTATCTGGAGGCATCTTTTCCCTTGAGAAACTTACTCTTGTGAGTTCTCCTCATGAGCTAAACTGATCTTTCTTCAACTCACCTTTTTTCTCCTTGTGGTTTATAAGTGGCTACCCTAGGAATCTCACTGGCACTGTAAATGGTCTACTCAGATAGCTCCTTAGCTCGGTCACTGAATCTCTTAGGTGCCTTTTCTTTTATCCTTTTTCATGTCACAGGGCAACACTTTCTGCCACCATGTCACAAGAATGCCCTTTCCTCCAGCCTCCAATAACCGCCTTTCACGGGCCAGGCTCTCACCACAGCCTTCTTGAAACCTTTCGGTGTCAGATGCTGACCTGTCCCCAGAGCAGTGCACATATCTAACCTTTGTAGTGTCAACACCCTATCTTCAGATAGGAGATTCTGTTTCAGTTATCTCTCGCTGCAAATCAGTTTGCTTCCCAGACTTACTGACTTAAAAGAACTGTCTTGATTCATCTCACACTCTGTGGATTAGGAGCTGGGACTTTCCTTCTCCTCCTCATGGCATCAGCTGGCATCGCTCAGTGGTGTTGAGCCATCGGCTGCACTTACTTGGATGGGAGGTGCTGTCTCTGCACAGCTGGCTCCTTGGCTCGGCTGGGTCTGTGCTGCTGGGTCCCACTCCCATGCTTTAAGTCTCAGAGCCTTGCCATGTTGTCTCTTCAGAGCCCTTAAACTGCTTTCTTGGTGGTTTAAGCTTCCGGATTCCAAGGTGGAAACTGCCAATTCTCTTAAAAGGCTGGATGTGGGCCAGGCCTACAGGACTCCAGCTGTACTCCACTGGTCCAGGCAATCACACTGCTGATCCAGACTCAGGGACTTGGGAAAACAGAGCCCCGTCTGGATGAGAGGAAGACTAGACAGCTGCCACATGTGTGACCTTGTAGTCTTGTGAAATCGTCTTGTTCACTAGAATCTTAGTGAATGATTATCTTATGTCTTTTCTTAAGAAGACAAAAAGAACCTGTTAGGTGTATATTTAATAATAGTGACTGTATAGCCTATTAGAGCTGGGACAAGAGCTGGGACAGTTTTTCTGCAAGAGCCATGTAGTAAATATTGTTGCCTTTGTGGGCAGTATAGTCACAAATCTAGTTTGTGGAATGAATCACATTGATGTGGCTTAAGGTACCAGAGAACAGTTACTCGTTTAAAAAATTTTGAGCAGGATACCCCTGCTCCAAGTGCTACTTGTAAGGGTGACCAAAAAATCATTTGAATAAAAGATACAAATTTTAAGGATTGGTACAATACCAATCATCTCTCTAAATAGGACAACTAATTAGAAACTTTTAAAATAGAGAAGGAAAAAAAGGAGTGGCCATGGTGGCTGAAACAAGAAAGTATCAATAATTTGAATTGGACGGAAAAAAGGGAAATTAAGAAATGAAGAGAGAAACTCTCTTTTCATTGCTGTTAACTTTCAGGAAATATCACCCAGGTGAAAGATGAGCCACTGCCAGAGAACAGAGATAGTTCCCTGGTTATTAATTATTTGAAGGTTTAGGAAAATAGATTTAGCACCCTAGTTATATTCACCTTTTCACTGTGAAAGTCCAGGTAAGAGGGTTTTTTTTTATTTTTGATGATTGAGCTTTCTAATCAGTTACTAATCAGTGGTATTATATTCTACTCTCTGTCCATATTTCTGGCCACAGATAGTGTTAGTCTTTAAGTTTTTATATCTTCTAGAAAGCAATTTATATATTACTGAAATGTTAATGAAGAAAAACTTTTCTATAGTAATGAAAGATACAGAGTACACAATATTTCTTCTGGGTATTTTTATTGCAATGAAAATGCAAAAGGAGAAGTCTGTTATTTCAAAAACAGCTAGAGTGTAAAGACAGTAAGATTAAGGATCTATAGATAACCTACTGATTTTTTGTTACAGTTACTACATTAGCCTGAAACGAGGTATGATCATCTATAAGAGATTTATTCTGTTTTCTCTAAGTGGATTTTGCTTTGAGACCTGTTTCTGGCCCTGTTTTTGCCTTGCAGAGCCTGCTGACTTGGAGGCAGAAGTACTGCAGGAGCCAAGTAGAGCAGACAGAGATGGCGGTTTGCCCCACCCCGTTCTCGACATGTGGGTCAGTGAGAGAGAAGGAGCAGAGGAGGTTGAGTACGTCACCTCTTCCCTACATTTCACACCTGCTCCCTTCATGTCATGCCTTTCACAGAAATACTGGAGTAACCCAACATTACATTAAATCAATTACGAAAATAGTTAATTTGGGAATAGGTATCACATTCGTGAGGTTCAGAAACAGCAAGCAAAATATACAGTGAAAGGTCTGTTTCCCACTTTTGTCCCCACCCAGCAAATTCCCACTCTGTCCTCTTTCCAAACACGGTTAATATATACAGAAGCAAAAGCAAAGATATAGTCTCCCTCACTTTTATTTATTTATTTTTTCATTTATTTTTATTAGTTGGAGGCTAATTACTTGACAGTATTGGAGGCTAATTACTTGACAGTATTGAAGTGGTTTTTGTCATACATTGACATGAATCAGCCATGGATTTATATGTATTCCCCATCCCGATCCCCCCTCCCACCTCCCTCTCTACCCGATCCCTCTGGGTCTTCCCAGTGCACCAGGCCCGAGCACTTGTTTCATGCATCCAGCCTGGGCTGGTGATCTGTTTCACCCTAGATAATATACATGTTTCGATGCTGTTCTCTCGAAACATCCCACCCTCGCCTTCTCCCACAGAGTCCAAAATTCTGTTCTGTACGTCTGTGTCTCTTTTTATGTCTTCCATATAAGGTTATCATTACCATCTTTCTAAATTCCATATGTATGTGTTAGTATACTGTAATGGTCTTTATCTTTCTGGCTTACTTCACTCTGTATAATGGGCTCCAGTTTCATCCATCTCATTAAAACTGATTCAAATGAATTCTTTTTAATGGCTAAGTAATATTCCATGGTGTATATGTACCACAGCTTCCTTATCCATTCGTCTGCTGATGGGCATCTAGGTTGCTTCCATGTCCTGCCTATTATAAACAGTGCTGCGATGAACATTGGGGTGCACGTGTCTCTTTCAGATCTGGTTTCCTTGGTGTGTATGCCCAGAAGTGGGATTGCTGGGTCATATGGCAGTTCTATTTCCAGTTTTTTAAGAAATCTCCACACTGTTCTCCATAGCGGCTGTACTAGTTTGCCTTCCCACCAACAGTGTAAGAGGGTTCCCTTTTCTCCACACCCTCTCCAGCATTTATTGCTTGTAGACTTTTGGATAGCAGCCATCCTGACTGGCGTGTAATGGTACCTCATTGTGCTTTTGATTTGCATTTCTCTGATAATGAGTGATGTTGAGCATCTTTTCATGTGTTTGTTAGCCATCTGTATGTCTTCTTTGGAGAAATGTCTGTTTAGTTCTTTGGCCCATTTTTTGATTGGGTCATTTATTTTTGGACTTCCCTTGTTGCTCAGATGGTAAAGATCCACCTGCAATGTGAGAGACCTGGGTTTGATCTTTGGGTTGAGAAGATCCCCTGGAGAAGAGAAAGGCTACTCACTCCACTATTTTTGCCTGAGAATTCCATGGACAGAGGATCCTGGAGGTTTACAGTCCGTAGGGTCACAAAGAGTCAGGCACGACTGAGCGCCTTTCACCTTCACTTTTAAATATAGTTGTTATTATAAGGCACAGAGTTTTTTCCACCATTTTATGTCAGTAATTGGAGAATTTTTTCATATTAATACGCAGAGGGCTTCCTCTTTTGCTACTTTAAGGGTACATAGTGTTCCAATATATGGATATACCATAGTATATAGTTGTATTTGCGACTATAAATATATAGTATTTATATATTTATGTAGTTTCTATTTACATAGTAAATAGTTGCTATATATTTACATAGTATGTAGTTGCTATTACAGATGATGCTACAGTTGATAACCTTTAGTGAGCTTAATTTGCATGTATATAAATATAGTCGCCTCCCCTTCCCACCCGATTCAAGCTTTCATCTAAGCTCTGCACTGTTATTGGTAAGCTTATTCCTGGCTATATTATCTTGTGATTATTTTATAAATGATAATTGTTCCTCTGTGAGATCGTGAAACTAAAAGGTGGTTTATATGAAAGCTTACACTTTCTTTATGTTGGTTTTGTTCCCACTCTCTTATTGGTATCCTACTACTGTTCATTTAGACTTTCAGTTGAATCTTTTGTATGTTTCATATGCACAATCATATGAAAATAATGATGGCTTTCTGTCTTTCCAGTTTTTTTCATACACATTTCTCTCCAGTAGCATCACTTAGTACATTTTATACAGTTAAATATTAGAAATAGGCTTCTCTCTCTTCTTCTTAACTTCAGTGAAATACTTCTAATATTAAACATCATTAGGCATGACTATAATTTCTAGCTCAAGCAGTGTATACACATTTTCCTGGCTAAAAAGTCTGGAATGTATTATATCAAATGACTTTTTGGCATCATGTAATTGTTTTATCTATCAGCATAATAAATTAATAGGTTACCTAATATTGAACTATCCTGCATATCTTAGTAAACTCTGCTTGGTCTTCTGTTTGCTCATTTTAATGTACTTCTGTTTGATAATACTTCATTTTGTGATTTTTTTGGCCATTAATTTTTTTAAATTAATTTTTATTGGAGTATAATTTTTATTGGAGTTGATTTACAATGTTGTATTAGTTTCAGCAGTACAGCAGAGTGAATCAAATACACATATACCCACTCTTTTAGATTCTGTGCCCATGTAGTCCGTTACAGAGTACTGAGTAGAGTTCTCTGTGCTATAAGCAAGTTCTTATTTATCTGTTTTCTATATAGTAGTGTGTGTATCTCAACCCGTCTTCCAGTTTACCCCCCTCCCTTACCCCCTGGTCATCATGAGTTTGTTTTCTACAGTTGTGTCTTTTATTTCTGTTTTATAAATAAGTTCATTTGTACCTTTTTTTTTTTTAATTCCGCATAGAAGCAGTATCATATATTTGTCTTTCTCAGTCTGACTTACTTCACTCAGTATGACAATTTCAGGATTTTTGTATTAGTACTCAGGAGAGTCCTCTTATAGTTCCCTTTTGTCTGGGAAATCACTGTCATATTTTGGTGTTCTTGTTACCTTCCTTCTTAAAATAATAATTGGAAGTTCATTCCTTTGCTCTGGTCGTAACAAGGGATGTCAGATGTTTTCTGTAAAGGGCCAAATACTGAACATTTTTGGCCCTGTCGACCATATGCTCTGTGATGTCGCTATTCGGTGCTGTCTTTGATCTGCAAAAGCAACCATAGGTAACACATAAACAGGTGAGTGCGGCTGCTCCAGTGCAACTTTATCTGTGAAAACAGGAGGTGGGCTGGACTTGGACATGGATACAGAGAAGCATGTGCAAGAATGTTTATTTCAGGAGAGTCACAGGAAATCATTTGAAATAGTCTGATCAGTAATAAGGAAGTGGCTAAAAACACTGTTCTAAGTATCCTGCTGAGCTATTTCAGGTCCTAAAAGATAATACTGTTAAAGTGCTATACTCAATATGCCAGCAAATTTGGAAAGCTCAGCAGTGGCCGCAAGACTGGAAAAGGTCAGTTTTCATTCCAATCTCAAAAAAAGGCAATGCCAAAGAATGTTCAAACTACTGTACAATTACACTCATTTCACAAGCTAGCAAGGTAATGCTCAAAATCCTTCAAGCTAGGCTTCAACAATACATGAACCAAGAACTTCCAGATGAACAAATTAGATTTAGAAAAGGCAGAGGAATCGGAGATCAAATTGCTAACATCTGTTGGATCATAGAAAAAGCAAGGGAATTAAAAAAATACCTACTTCGGCTTCACTGACAATGCTAAAGCCTTTGACAGTTTATCACAGCAAATGGTGGAAAATTCTTAAAAGAGATGGGAATACCAAATCACCTTACCTGTCTCTTGAGAAAACTGTATGTGGAACAAGAAGAGATAAATCCACGAACCTATGGTCACCTTATCTTCGACAAAGGAGGCAAGGATATACAATGGAAAAAAGACAACCTCTTTAACAAGTGGTGCTGGGAAAACTGGTCAACCACCTGTAAAAGAATGAAACTAGAACACTTTCTAACACCATACACAAAAATAAACTCAAAATGGATTAAAGATCTAAATGTAAGACTAGAAACTATAAAACTCCTAGAGGAGAACATAGGCAAAACACTCTCCGACATAAATCACAGCAGGATCCTCCATGACCCACATCCCAGAATTTTAGAAACAAAAGCAAAAATAAACAAATGGGACCTAATGAAACTTAAAAGCTTTTGCACAACAAAGGAAACTATAAGCAAGGTGAAAAGACAGCCCTCAGATTGGGAGAAAATAATAGCAAATGAAGCAACAGACAAAGGATTAATCTCAAAAATATACAAGCAACTCCTGCAGCTCAATTCCAGAAAAATAAATGACCCAATCAAAAAATGGGCCAAAGAACTAAACAGACATTTCTCCAAGGAAGACATACGGATGGCAAAAAAACATATGAAAAGATGCTCAACATCACTCATTATTAGAGGAATGCAAATCAAAACCACAATGAGGTACCATTACACACCAGTCAGGATAGCTGCTATCCAAAAGTCTACAAGCAATAAATGCTGGAGAGGGTGTGGAGAAAAGGGAACCCTCTTACACTGTTGGTGGGAATGCAAACTAGTACAGCCACTATGGAAAACAGTGTGGAGATTCCTTAAAAAGCTGGAAATAGAACTGCCATATGACCCAGCAATACCACTTCTAGGCATACACACAGAGGAAACCAGATCTGAAAGAGACACGTGCACCCCAATGTTCATCGCAGCACTGTTTATAATAGGCAGGACATGGAAGCAACCTAGATGCCCATCAGCAGACGAATGGATGAGGAAACTGTGGTACATATACACCATGGAATATTACTCAGCCATTAAAAAGAATTCATTTGAATCAGTTCTAATGAGATGGATGAAACTGGAGCCCATTATACAGAGCGAAGTAAGCCAGAAAGATAAAGACCATTACAGTATACTAACACATATATATGGAATTTAGAAAGATGGTGACGATAACCCTATATACAAAAAAGAAAAAGAGACTCAGATGTATAGAACAGACTTGTGG